CGAAGGGACCCCCCCCCGCGGGGGGCTCCTCTTACCGGGGCCAAATGGGCCCAGGGGAAGGGGCGAGAAACCCGGGGGGCCCGTTCTTCTGGAAACCCCGGGGCTCCAAACCAGGGCCCTTCCTTTTTTTTAGACCAGGGGGGGACCCCGCGGGAAAGGCCGCTCCGAAAATCCCCCAAAGATAGCCCGGCCCACCCGTTTGTATAATTGGGGGGGGGGGGGGGGCGGCGTGGCGTGGAGCTCCGAGATAGCGCGAGATCGCCCGAGATCGCGCGGCGCGGCCCGAGATCGCCCGAGATCGCGCGGTTCTGAGGTCAATGCCCGCAACCCACTGTAAGAGGCAGGGACCCGAGGGTGAGCGGTCCGAGGGAGACCCTGTGGAAGACGGCTAGAGGGAGCGGACCGTGAGTTGAGGAAATCGAGGGACGCGACCCACTTCGCCACAGACGGTCCCGCGCCTCGCCGCTATGACGGCCACACGGCCGCAGCTCGTGTGCGTGTGGCCGGCTTTGTCCGGAGTGAACACTCCAACGCGCTCGTCGGTGACGGTGTCCCCCAACCTGCGCCGCGCTCGGCGAACCTCGACAGCGCTTTCGGTGGCATGCAGCTCTTTGCAGCCGGCGCCACCTCACGAGAGCGATTAATACAGGTATTTTTTGAGCTTAGCCTTCGATGTTATGAAACAAAAGAAAGAAAGAAAGAAAACAGACAACCCAAGGGAGGGATGGGAGAACGGCACGCCGTCACCACACAGGGATTTTAAGGAGAGGAGTGTGATGCGCTAGCCGTCGCCCACCCTGGGGAGTCTGCTTCTTCGTATCTCTTTTCGCAGTCTCTCGCCGCTTCTCGCTGCAACCTTCATGCCACCTCGCGGCCGTCCCACTCTCTCTCATCGTTCTCTCCATTGTCACTTCCTCCTCTGTCGCGTCGTTCTCTTCTGCCATGTTATGAAACATAAATAAATAAATAGAGCAGTCATCTCCAGGGAAACAACGCAAGGCGGACATGGCACATCGGTATTTTTTTGAGATCGTTCGTTTTTATAATAAGAGCTCGCATTAGCTGGGGATCTTGCTGTGCCTGTACGATGAGCGACATCCCGTCGCCATCGCCGTCGCCGCCGCCGCCGCCGCCGCCGCCGCCGCATGAACTGGCCTCGTGGATCACCATCCTAGTCCTATGGATCGTCTTTGCCCTGATCGCCTTTGTGCCGCCCTTGATCGGAGCGTCGACCTCCTCGGACCGGAATCATGGTCTCACTTTCCCCACGAAATTCTTTGCTGGTCTTACACCGGCCTCGGCACTACGGATCAGGCTTAGCGTCGCGCAGAATGCCGCACGCAATATGAGGACACTCACGACATTCCGTTTTCTCAGCGTCGCATGGATCATCGGACTCTGCGTGAACTTACCGATCCTCCTCGAAGGAGTCGAGCCGGAGGACGTGCGAGTCATAGACATGGCACTCGGCATCCTCGCAGTCATCCTTGGCACGACGATTCGCCGCAGCCGCGATGTGCTGTTCTTTTTACAGCACCCATGTTCGCAGTCGTGTACCAGGCAATGCTCCTCCTCTCCTGCCGCCCTCTTGACACTGTGGGCGTCCGGCTGGTTGGCCTCATCATTGGCCTCGAGTTTCTGTACACCACCCTCGGCACAGAGATGCATGAGGCGGAACTACT